TATCGTCTATTCAGTAGCCTCATCGAAAAGCTCTTTGGCTCGACGACCGGGCATATTTTCCAATTATGTCCTAAACACGGAGATACCCTTATTTACTGAGGAGAAAATATCAGCCAATCACATCCAATCAAGGCAACATTTTTTTAATGGGTGAGCAAGTACCTACCTACCTAAACATTCAATGTCAACAAGGTCAAATATTGATGTTTAAACAGGCTCTCGCTTGACTGAAGCTGAAAGTGAATCTGGTGTGTGTGTCAGTTTTTTTTTCCTCTCTGCATCTACACAGCCAAATCAGATGGGGGCAGCTGGATAAGCACAGACCCGGTTTCTGTCTATTTTTGGCTTGGAAATACAGATGGAAACATGGCTTGGAGTCACGGAAAAATGAAGACGACCTGTGTAGGAAACGCACTCCTTGGTTACCCATTCCTCGGCGACGGGATCCTCGGGAGACCTCATCCGGCAAAGTGCAAATCCTCCACCCCCCATCCAGTGTTCCTGCACTAAGGTAAACGACACTCCGGAGTAATAGATATCAGTCCCATGTCCCTGGTAAGCCATGGCCCTGGTATACCACGCCCCTTTGCATGCCACGCCCACTGGTACACCACACCCCTTTGTGTACCACACCCCTTTGTATACCACGTCCCCTGGTATACCACGCCCCTTTGCATGCCACGCCCACTGGTACACCACACCCCTTTGTGTACCACGCCCCTTTGCATGCCACGCCCACTGGTACACCACACCCCTTTGTATACCACGTCCCCTGGCATACCACGCCCATTTGCATGCCACACCCCTTTGTATGCCACGCTCTTTTTGTGCCACACCACTGGTACACCACACCACTTTGTATGCCACGCCCCCTGGCATACGACGCCCATTTGCATGCCACACCCCTTTGTATGCCACGCCCTTTTTGTGCCACANCGCCCATTTGCATGCCACACCCCTTTGTATGCCACGCCCTTTTTGTGCCACACCACAGGTACACCACACCACTTTGTATGCCACGCCCCCTGGCAAACCACACCCCTTTGTATACCACGTCCCCTGGCATACCACGCCCATTTGCATGCCACACCCCTTTGTATGCCACGCCCTTTTTGTGCCACACCACTGGTACACCACACCCCCTTTGTATGCCATGCCCACGTGTATGCCACGCCCCCTGGCAAACCACACCACTTTGTATGCCACGCCCCATAGGATACCATACCTCTAGGATCCCACGCCCCCGGATGCTGTGGCCAAGCCCCAAAGGCTCCAACACTCTAGAATCTCCCGTTGCCATGCAACACTCGCCAGGCCTTAGAGGCAATTACCTACAAGGTGCCACACGCCAATTAAAACACACACGCTTGCACACCTCGTGCAGGCCGAGGCATACACCAACCAGATGGGCTATTTCCGGACCGAACAAAGAGGGCCGTCCACCGGCTAGCCCAATCAGGAACACCGGTCCAGGACTTAATTATCCTCTGTGGTAATAGTGACAGCTGGCTTTTATGCACTACTAGGGGAGCAGGGATACAGCATGACACAGCACTTCTGGGACGTCGTAAAGAGTTAACATCGCATGGGTTCCAGCAGCGGAGTCACAAACGGGTCCGGGCATTGCGGCTTCACGATTATAGGCACATCATGGCCATCGACAAATAAAGGACCGCCCACGTCGCAGAGGGGACGCGACGTTCTGCCAGACGCCTGGCCAGCTCTGGGCGACAGATGATGCTAAACAATGGTGCCGCATTTCCTGGTTTCCAAGGCAATATGTGATGTTGTGACAGACACCGCGAGGGCGTGTTCGCGGTCGCTAACGCTCTGCCTACGTACGTGGTGTGCTGACCGCTGTCCCTTGTAGTAGCCCAAGTTGGCCATCCGAGAGATAGACAGCGATGCACAATTAACTTAAAGGCTTCTTTGGTTTTGAAAAACCCCAAAGATCATAAATTCCAGAAGGGACACAAGGAAAACAGTCGTTGTCATGCTAATTCAGCACCGGGAACAAACGCCCCTGTCACCCTCAGACTGCTGAGCTCTGTGCACCCGCTATATTGCATAATATTACATCACTTTCCTGCTAAACAGGCCCCCGCGACCGGGGGAGGCTGCCGTCTATGATCTGGAGCAAGCCTGGTGTTGGCAAGCCAGCTAGGGCACGGGGATTTGGCCGCCAGCGTTCCAGCGAGGACGGGTTTCACAATAAAGAAAATCAGCAGGTGAGTCAACAGTCAGAACAGCATCACCGGGGTCTGCCATGACAGCCCACCAGGAGAGCTCACTCTCGCCCCCTGCTGTTCATTACAAAGTGTATGTAAACTTCCTGCAGGAATCTCAGTGCAGGTGTGATTGGATTCTCTCCCCTCCCTCCCCGCTTTAGTGCATATTCTCAGTGAGCGCCTTCAGATCTAAGAGACTGCAACCTCTGAAATGTTACGGAAGTCTCTACTGTCCACTGAGAAAGGGCAGACATCACATTATTCACAGGGTAAAATACGAGAACAGTGACGTGCACAGGGGCAGGCACTCAGACGGGGGTGTGACCGACTGGTCCTGTGCAGTAGGTTTGGGGTGGGGCTGGGGGGGTGGGGGTAGCCCCCCTTGGGAGATTTTATGCGATCATTGCAAAAGGGCACTCTTTTATTAATTCAGGCTTTATGGGCTTGTGCTTTGGCACCCCCCGACGTGCCTGGAGAACTATGCCACAAAATTTCTCCAACTACTAGGCAAGGTTTCCTTATTAAAGGTGGGGGCGATTCTAGGATTTACCCCTTAGAGGGGCTCAGACCCCTGAAGGAATACAGGGTTTGCTGAGCAGGTCGGAGAAAATATATACAAAAACATGGGATAAATTGCTAAATGTTTTTTTTTTTCTGGGGGGGTCGGGGTGAGACAAAAAAATAAATCAAGCCTAGAACTGCCTACTTTAAAGATTTTAATTCTCTTTATATTATATAAAATCCATCTATTCATAATTGCTAATCCAAAGCAGGGCTGAGGTTGGAGTCAACCTGTGGTTCATTTACCAAAAGCACTATGTCATCAACTTCCATTGATGGAACCATGCAATTGAAGGAGTCCCATAATGCAAGTTGCTAACTGCATAGGATTACAGCTCCTAACAGGGAGAATGCAAACACAGACACACACATACACACAAAATCACACACCATGGGCAATTTAAAAGCATCAGTCCACCTCAACCACATGTCTTTGGATTGTGGGGAGGAAGAACCTAAAAGAAACTGCTAAAAACACAAGGAGAAACATAGAGATGCCACGCAGAAATGGCAGAAAGAAAATCAAATCCACAGACCTCAAACTACAACCTACAAACACTGAAGGTTACATCATCTGCGACCCCAAACGGTCTATAAGAACAGCAATAAAAACATGACGTACTTCTCGGGCCAGAAGTGGTTTGAATGCTTTTGATAGGGAACCTCAAAAAAAGCAAGAATGCCCCACTGTTATTTTTATGTTATTACTATCTGATCAGGAGAATAAAGTCACAGAAAAGCACGGCCGATCAATAAATGTGACACCAGACATGCTGTAGAGTCGAACGATCGACTTTTACACAATGCCGGCATGAATCCAAAGCAGGAATCGTAAGCTGTTGAGAAAGCGGGTCAAGGAGAACGTAAAGGAGCACAGGAGCCGGAAGGAGATGCCAGATTGGAGACATTTTCCCCAGACTTGCCTCATAATGGTTGTTTAATGGCAAAGAATTCAGCCCTTTCTAAATCGGCGGGGTGGCCAGTAAAAGCAACAATGACAGTCACATGCTGACTCCCAACCAACACCCCCCCCCCCGGATTGCATTCTGGATAACGGTTCACAGTCGCCGTCAAATGCATTCTGCCGCTTTTGCCTGCCAAGGAAGGACACCCTGGATTATCTTTTTTTTTTTTTTTTTTTTTTTGGGGGGGGGGGGGGGGCTAAGAGGATTAACGGTGGACTGGTTTACAAAAAACGGGAAACACCACGATGGCGGGTGATAGAGGTGGCAATGGGCCGGACAGCCCAGAACAGAGAAGGCTGTCATGATTAATATACCCGCTTATCTAATGAGACCCCTACACCTGGCAGGAAGCCAGGTGGATACAAGTCAGCTGAGTGCAGGGGGGCAGGGGTTGGGGATTGCAGCCCCCATCAGGAGCTCCAAGTTCTGTGGCTCAGCCCAGCACGAGGGACCCTCCCCATCAAATGGACCGTGCCACTGTGTGATGCCAAATCTCCACCACGAGGATCCGTGGCCCTGCACTAAAGAGCAGCACTGTGGAAACCTCTCCAGCACTGTACTGATAGCTTCAGTGTATTTTGTTTCATTTCAGATGTAATTTCATATCCATTTATTCCAAATGCCAACCTGTCACCCTTTTAGAGGAAAGACCAGAATAAACCTCGATGTTAACCCTCACAATTCCAAGTGATGGTCACTCCTTCATCAGATTAATCAGTGAATGTCTATTAGGCATGCGCTAATGCTTCGGAAACGGTTTCATTCGCTGTGCGGCTTCGGCTCACGTGACCGTCCCGGAGTCTCAGCGAGTGCAGGGCGACACCGCAAATAGGCTCATCTAAATCGGGACTCCGGCTCATTGAGCACCTGCGATACGTGAGATCGAGAAAGGTGTTCTCGCATCGCACCCTGCGGGCGTGTGCGGGGCTATTTCCCCATCGATTCACCCCCATCGTGACGACAAAACGATGGAAATGCAGGTCTTTCCAGATACACATATTCCATACATACGTGTGTGTGTGTGATCTATCGGTGTCTGAGAGAGGCTCCAGCCCTGCGCAACCCTGTCCAGTATAAGCGGTGAGAGAATACATGAATACATGGATATCTGTCAGTCTACCATAAGCGCTTATTCAATAACAATCACGATGAGTCTGGTCGCACAGGGCACAAGGCAGGGGACACCCTAAATGGGATGCCAGGCGATCGCAGTAAATGTAAAACAATAAATAAATAAATTACTCACGGTTGTGTCCTAATGAGTATGCTGCCAATGTTTTGCCAAGCGGTGATTGCCTCCTCAGTGCCGATTTACTGAAAAAGAAATCAGAAAGCGAAGGCTGTTAGTATCCAGAGAGAGACTTTCATGCGTTCTTCTTACTTATTGACAAACACCAGCTCTCAGCCTCTAAATAAAATTTACGGGGCGGGAGGGAGAAGGGGGGGGGGGGGGGGGGGGTATGGAGTGGAAGAGCTTGTCAGAAAAAAAATCAAACTTCCTATACTGAGAAAGTACTCATGTGGGTAGGGGGTGAGGGCGGGGGTTATCAGTGAAATGATGAACTGAAATGCATCTTGTCTCCAAAGCTCTCGGCCTAATTCAAATATTCAATTAAGGATGTTTTGAATTACAAATACACCATGCCCTATGGGCATACGCTTAAAGTGGACTACTAAATGACTCTTTTTAATTAACACACTTAATAAGACTAAATACAACTGAATTATAAAAAAGATACAAAGCATCTGCAAAACAAATTCTTACAAACCATGGCTATGCAAACTAAAAGCACTAACAAAATGTTTAAACTGGAACAGGGAAAGATAATTAAAGCGAGATAAACGATGTTAAAATATAACCGGCTCCGGTTTGGGCGGTGTAGAGACATGCAGTCCATCTATAAACCACATCACCTCCGATGTTACGTAAGACGCTTTGAACGAGACACCACGGAGTAAATCAATAATGTCTTGCAGTTACAGGGTGCCTTCAGGCTGCTGGGAACCGAGCAAACTCTTTGGAACAGGCTGAGCAAAGACGTACCTAAACAAGGCACAAATAATACGATTTTTTAAAAAGAAAAGCCACACGAAGGTAAACATCCTGACGGAGCCGCGACACAGTATTTCACACACGACAGTGAGTGGTGAGATCACTCAGCAGTGTTATAATAGAATGATTTCTATGTTACTGTGGCACGGTTAAATTCAAATTATTTTTAACATGTGGGTCTCCCGATGATGCCTGATTGCCACAGGGTCACCTAACAGTCACTGCGCACTGTGCATTACAACATGCAGTTTTGTCGTTTTACTTGCAGCGACGATTTAACATTTTCCAGTGATCTGGAATGGAGAAAGTGTGCTGTGCATCCTATCGGCACCAAACTCGGCGGAATTGGTTTATTTCAGAACAACTTCGATTTACAGAAAAATAAAAATATGGGTACTGCCTTTTTATAGTTGCTATGCACGCATTGTCCTGTGCTTTTGAACACTTGTCCGACCCAAAGACTCCGGTATTAACTGGAAACAGAAGCGCCGATACCAGAAGGCTAAACTCACTGTATATTAAGATCGAGACAGATTGCCATGACAACAGATTGCTGATTAAAAAAAAATCATAAATGGCAAGCTTCGACGCTCACAGCAAAATGAATTATGAATTATGTATTATTTCATCGCACGAGGCAGTTAAATTTTAGGACTTCACGCTGGACATAGACGGTGACAGGAGGCACAAAGAAAACTGGTCACGCCGCAGATCTCTGCAAAAGACTTTGCCCTTGCATGGATAAAACCATGAAATTATGTTGTTTTATTTAACATAATAAAGGACTTCGGCGATCAAACGTGTCTTATATGCTATATGTATGATCGGAGCATTCCGTTTCTAATACATAAAGACACGCGTTATGTTACTATCGTGATGTACCATCATCGTGGATATTATAAACATTCAAACATCCGCACGAGAAATTAATCATTGTACAGCTCTGCTCCGTTACAGTCACCGAGATCATTCCGCTTCTTTCGCTTTCAACCTCGTACCATCGTTTAAATCCCAAAGTTGGTGCCGAAATCTGAATCATGCAGCCGCATTAACGAGACCACCGACTACTCACATTATCAAAATGTCTTCTGCACAGGGCTCAAGAGCCCTTAGTTTTTTCTTTTTTAATAAATGAAGGAGTGTGTGTTTTTCCATCGCGAAGAAGTAAATTAAATTCAAATAAAGAAAACATATAACTTCTACTTTTATCGTTGGAGACATTAGCAAATTTTGAGTTACCATCTTATATATCCATATGTCAGAAATGTTACACATCAGAAATATATATATATATATATATATATATATATATATATATATATATATATATANATATATATATATATATATATATATATATATATATATATATATATATATATATATAGTTTTTTTCCCTTCGTGTACACATGCAAGCGCCCACGTATTGTGGTCACAAAAGACATGAACCGCCATTGAATATCAAACGATTTTTTTCCCTCTGGATGTCAGCTGCCATACAGTAATTGCACACTATTGCATGCCTTACCTTGTCTAAGTCGATCGCCGGCATTTTAATATCCGAGAGCTGCGCGCCGGCATATCCGCGTCTCCAAGCGCACTGAGGGCGCAGATTATAACGCGCTGGCTGCCTGCGCGCGTCGCCCCCGGCGGTCACGCTGGCGTCACCTATAGCTCGAGAAGCCAGTGACAACTTCACACGCTATCCGTCAAGAAAATCGCTTATTAACGTCTATGAAACGTATGCTGTGTGTTTTCCGAGCAAAACTAACATATTCCCTAGTTTATCATCTTTTAATGAATTTCCCTGTAAACATATAGCCTACATGAATTCCATCTCACACCCTTATTTTTTCGTTACACGTAGTGCTCATTCTCACAACAATAATAGCTGTGTGTGGTTTTCGTTGCGTTTAACCTATTGTACATGTATTACTTACGTACGTATTACCCATGGTAATTATTAATCTAATGAACTGTAAATTTCGATTTGGAGGAAAACTTCCCTTTGTAGCGATCATTTTTGACCTCTTTTTTAGAACTAGCCTACCTAATGTAGTTCACTGGATGACTTTACTGCAAATAAACATTTACAAGGCAGGATCAAAACTGTCAAGTAATTTGACGTTAAACTGTTTAATAGTGTGAAGTTTGAGACTAAATCATTAAAGTTCTGGAGTTGTAATGCTGGGCTTTCAGTTTCATTTGCACCCAAAAGTTCAATATGGCTCTAGATAATTAAATAAATGCGATTTCTGCGAAATGAAGCCCCAGAAAATAAAAAATCAAAGCCAGACCCTAGCGTGACCTACTTTTTTGTAACCAGATAAGATCAGATAAGAACCAATTCTCTCCTTGGATGAATTCACAAACGGAGTTTATACGCGCTTTATAGACTGGAGAGCAGGCTGCTGTAGAAGGGCATAACCTCACGTCAGTATTTCTGCACATGGTGAAACCAGCAAACATGATATATCACCGAGTCTTACGGTCCTCGTTACCTGCAAACCAGGCAGTGACACTGAGTACAACAAGCACCACAGTCTGTGTTCAGTGCAAACAGGCTAAATAGCTATACTCTTCTATTCATCTTTCATACTGCAACTGTACTGGTGAGACTGGTGCTGATCCCAGAGATAACAGGGCACAAGACGGGGGTCACCAATGATGAGATCCTAGTCCATTGCATGTTACATACTAAACCTTGCCATCAAATGCTATAAGTGATTTAGAGATTTCATCTAAACAAATATTTTTGGAAGCTACAAGCTCCGCACAGACTCAGATCAGGAGTGTGGAATTAAACGCACAGCCCTGAAGGTCTGATTCCACAATGCCACCCACTGAGCCTCCTCTCAATGTACCCATTTGCATCTAAAAATGTGATTTGAAGGTATCTCGTACACATCCATCCATCCATAACAGCTTATCCAGTAGTGGGTCATGGTGACCCCGGAGCCCATCACGAGAATCACAAGACTCAAGGTTGGACGTGCCCTGGATGGGAAGCCGAAATCTCAGGGCACCCATTGGCATAAATAATCTCATACTCTGGGCTACTACATGTTGCCAAGGCATAGCGCCCAAGGCAGTATTCGCTGAAGTCAGCTGTTGGCTCACATCAGCATCCTCAGACTTTAATATCACACACGGGCCGAAAGGGGACAAGGTACCTTTTAAAGTTTCAGCTACAGCCAGAGCCAGCGAACACAGACGTTAAGACAGCCGCGAAACGCGTTGATGAGACTCCGCAGGACGATTTTGACGGAGCGTGTACGGTGGTTTCGGCTTTCTCCAAAGTAGAAGGTTCATTAGGGTTCAGTCCCTTTGAACTGTCTGGAAACAAAATGTAAATTTGAAAATAAAATCTGACATGTTTTGGTTCAATCTGATCCAGTTCATTGAGAAACTGCCCTTTGCGCATAGGGGAGAACGTGTTCGAGGTTTATAAAAGAGCATCCACGTATTAAATATAAACAAATTCCTGGACTCCTAGTTTAAAATGCACATATTTAGTCTAAAATTCAACAGCAACTGTGAATATTTCCGACAGTTATATTTTGAGGCACGTGAATTTGTATTTTGTATATTTAATGCCTGCAAGTCACATATGCAATGTCAATCTGAATATTATGAAAGTATGATCACAAGCAAATTCTGAACAAATGTACTTATTAATTACTTATTTAACGTCATGCTTTTGAATTCCGACACCATACTGAGTTTCGATAAGAGCGCGGATTTCTATTTTTAATACAAGGTGGTCGGTGGGCCACTCTGTAACGACACAGAGTGTAATCAAGCTAAACATTCAACCTCGTGACTCAGTCCTCAGTTAAGCGTGATTCGAGCACACACTGATAAGCTTCCTTCTAGATGAGACATACGCTTAAAAAAAAAGGTCTGGGTTTTGCAGAGACCCATACGAGAGCGGAGAACGGCGGCGAGGATTCCGGGAAGCTTCAAAGCCTGAGTGGCTGTTTGATGCTCAGGACCACGCGTGAGAAAAGGTCTCTGTTCTACGTTCTGCAGGGTCACTGGCATTTCTGTCCAGCTCTGTTCACAGGACATGGGCAGCAGTGACCGACTCGTTAGGGAACATTGGCAGCGCTAAAGAGGACAGATGGCTTCCGCCCTGTGTCACCACCCTCTCTCATCCTCTGCCCCCACTTAATGGTCACTCGCTTCCTTCAGAAATATCATCGCATCAATGTCATCGTCACGGCATTCTTTTAGAGTCGTTTTGAGGGTCTCTAATTGCCTTTAAGAGTACAGCTCATTAACGCAGACTCCTATTGAAGAATTTGACCTGGTGTCTGACAGGGGACTCTTATGGTACTGGGAAATGGGGAAGGGGGGCAGGCTCAGGAAGGAGAGTCAACTGACCATTAGTTTCGAGTCACGCCTACCCTTTCACGATTTCCCAACAAATCTGGTGTCTTCTGATCCTTTCTATCAAGTCAAATGGAGTCAAGTGAGCTTTATTGTCATACCATCCATATACAGGTATACAGTGGCACACCCCCCTAGGACTATGGTGCAATATACAGATGGCATTGCTGGGGGTTTACAGCACTTAAAGTACAAAAAGGGTTTATAGACATAACGCAATGTGAAAGCATCACACTCCCTCCCCACCTTCAGGAAACCCCTCAAGACCCATGAAGTTCCTTGAATGTCGCATTTATGGTCCTTAGGTTGTTAGAAGTTGTTGTGCAGCTCCTGCTCCAATCCTGCTTACACTTGTACCTGAGCATTCATGGGCAGCTCGGCCTAGATGACCTTATGCCTATGCTGACGCCTCAACAGCACGTCTGTCTCTAATGTGCTATTTGCCTCAATTGAATGTCACTTTGGACAAAAGCATCTGCTATATGTATAAAAGTACAGTAAGACAGCAGCACCATAAAAGGGCAGGATAAATATAGTGGTTAAAAACCAGCAATAAATAGATAAATAATAATTTTAAAGTGACCAGTGCCATTGAACATCAAGTCAACGGTTGGCATTTGAAAATACACTTGTTATGAACAACGCACAACTGCGGGGGCCCGAGAGAGACAAT